AAATATGCTGTGTTGTAAGATCCAACGCTTTTTTTGATGCCCTAAAAAGTCTACCAAAATGTTCCATATTGCAGGCCATGTGATGTCTTCTTAACTCTGTTAGAGTTTGTTCCTCACACTTCGTTTAACTCAATTTTGCAGTCACAGTTAGACTTCTGTTTCTTTGCCAACTTTGAAGAATGGATTGCAAGTTTGCAGAGCTTGATGAATCCAAATTGCCCATAAAAGACTACCAACATATAGAAGCACCCTGGAGGTCTTTTTATATGCTTAGCTTAGAAAGCAAATCACCAACTACAGTCTCTAAGCACCTTATCCACGGTGCCTTGGAAAAAGGTCAATATGATGATTGCAACTAAGCCACAAAGTTGTTTATAGTCCCTCAAACAATGAAGCATAATCTTATATCAATAGGCGAACAAGGTAGACATGTTTTCAACCAGAATCAGCAGATTATTCAGCTGGGAAAAGTGGGAAGACTTGAAGAGGCCATCAAAGTTTTTTCACAAATGACTCGGAAAAACCTTGTCACATACAATTCCATGATATCAGTTTTTGCTAAAAATGGTAGAATCAATGATGCCAGAGAATTGTTTGACAAAATGTCCCGAAGAAACCTTATTTCATGGAACACCATGATTGCTGGTTATCTACATAACAATATGGTCAAAGAAGCTAATGCATTGTTTGATGCAATGCCTAAAAGAGACAATTATTCTTGGGCATTGATTATAACTTGCTATACTCATGAGGGGCAGCTTAAAAAGGCTAGAGAACTGTTCGATTTGGTTCCAGATAAGTCAGACACTGCATGTTGGAATGCAATGATTGCTGGTTATGCAAAGAAGGGTCAGTTTAATGATGCTAAGGCAATGTTTGATCTCATGCCGGTCAAGGATTTGGTTTCTTATAACTCATTGCTGGCTGGATATACCCGAAAAGGGGAAATGCATATGGCATTGAATTTTTTCACTGAGATGGTCAAGAAAAATGTGGTTTCATGGAACTTGATGGTGGCTGGGTTCATTGATATTGGCGACTTGAGATCTGCTTGGCAGTTCTTTGAAAAAATTCCGAATCCTAATGCTGTTTCTTGGGTTACAATGTTGTGTGGATTTGCAAGACATGGTAAAATTATAGAGGCTAGAAAACTCTTTGATAAAATGCCTAGTAAGAATTTGGTTTCTTGGAATGCAATGATAGCAGCATATGTGCATGATTTACAAATTGATGAAGCTGTTAAGCTATTCATGGAAATGCCAGAGAAAGATTGTGTGTCATGGACTTCAATAATAAATGGGTATTTTAGGGCTGGTAAGCTTGATCAGGCACTAGAAACTTACAATCGGATGCCCTACAAAGACATAGCAGCGCAAACGGCAATGATATCAGGATTAGTACAGAATAAAAAGATAGATGAGGCTAGTCAAATTTTAGTCAAATGGGCGCTCGTGATGTTATTTGTTGGAATAGCATGATTGCAGGCTACGTCCAGTGTGGAAGAATGGACGCTGCTCTTAAGTTATTTAGAGAAATGCCTGTTAAGAACACAGTTACGTGGAGTACTATGATTTCTGGGTATGCTCAAGTGGGACAGATGGATAAGGCAATAGACATCTTTCAGGACATGGGAGAAAAGAATATAGTTTCATGGAATTCTCTAATTACTGGTTTCATACAAAATAATTTATTCTTTGAAGCTGTCAAGAGTCTAGTTCTGATGGGTCCAGAAGGAAACAAACCTGATCAATCAACTTTAGCATGTGGGTTAAGTGCTTGTGCCAACCTGGCTGCTCTGCAAGTTGGCAAACAACTCCATGATTACATTCTAAAGAGTGGCTATATAAACGATTTGTTTGTTTCCAATGCCCTGATTTCCATGTATGCCAAATGCGGAAGGGTATATAGAGCCGAACAAGTGTTCAGAGATATTGATCATGTTGATCTTGTTTCTTGGAATTCCTTGATTTCAGGTTATGCTCTAAACGGGTATGCAAAAGAGGCATTTAAGCTTTTTGAAGAGATGTTACTAGAGGGGACAACGCCTGACAATGTAACTTTCATTGGGTTGTTGTCAGCATGCAGCCATGCTGGCTTAGCTGATCAAGGCTTAAACTTTTTTAAAGCCATGATTGAAGAATTTGCCATAGAACCTTTGGCTGAACATTATAGCTGCCTGGTTGATTTGCTTGGTCGCATGGGAAGGTTAGAGGAAGCCTTTGAAATAGTGAAGGGGATGAAGAACGTCAAAGCAAATGCTGGATTGTGGGGTTCACTGCTTGGAGCTTGTCGTGTACACAGGAATTTAGAACTCGCTAGATTTGCTACTGAGAGGCTTGTAGAACTCGAACCACATAATGCCTCAAACTATATTACGCTGTCAAATATGCATGCTGAGGCTGGAAAATGGGAAGAAGTTGAGAGAGTGAGAGTCCTCATGAGGGACAAAGGAGCGGGGAAGCTGCCTGGCTGCAGTTGGATTGAAATCAGAAATCAGATACAATCCTTTGTTTCAGATGATCCAGCAAAGTTGAGACCTGAAAAGAATATACTGAAGACCTTAAACACACACATGAAAGACAAAGGCGACACACCAGACATCGGCTTTTTACTTTTTGACATTTTAACCAAGCAATCTATATGTCAATATTGATGTTCTCATTCGATCAGATCACTTCACAGAGAATGTGATTATCAGCTATGTTAATGTTGACAAATTCTTGTGGAAGTTTGGCTGCTTCTTTTAAGTCATCATTTCAGGTACAAACAGTGTAGCTCCTTCCTCAAGCTACGTGCTTGTTGGTTTTGAATTTGCCCTACAATTATTGCAGGAATGCTCACTTCTAATTTGATGTGAAGGCTTGGGATGGTTTGAGCAATAGCAAGGAGCAAGAGAATTGGAACGAATCAAACCAATTCTTGATTTACAGTTACATGCTTATTGATCTCATAGGTTAAGTGAAATCTTGTAGGATCATTCATAAGATCACCTCCACTGAATGCCAACATGAGCAGGTATTTACCTTGCAGAGACGGACTCTCAAATCTTGTAGAAGAAATCCATAAGAATATTCTATCCAGCTTTAGCTTTAACTTCCTAAAATTTTTCAGCACTTTTTTTTTTTTTTTTCCTGATTTACTTTTGCGTTCATGGATCCAAGAAGCAAATGACTTGTTTGTACAGGTTAGCCATAATTTACTATTGGTCTGTTCATCACTTGTCTATAGGTGAAATACAATCATTTGCTGGCAATTAAGCAATATCATCTTTCTCTCCAAATTGCGTGGCATTTTGAGCACATCCATTTCTAATAATATAAAAACATCATCAACCGTAGGCTGACTTGGCAAATTTCCTACACTTGGCAAAACTGATCATGTGGTAGCAATACATGGCAAAAGAAGTTCAAACATGTACACACAAGTTAAAAATCAAAATAACACGTTTTCGCCATCATTGTTTAGGTCAAATAAACAGAATTCTCTTTAACTAAGATGGAGGGTTTAAACTGGCTAGCATTCTAAAATATTTTCTCAGGCATGTTCAGTACCTTAGAGTATTTTATAGTACATTTAGCATCACTTGTTTTATAGTGTAACTTTATTCTTAAAGTATCAATATTTTAGAAGCAACTGTGTTTTCAAAGTATTATTTCATGAGAGATTTTAACCTCATCATTAACTCCTCAAAAGGTCCATTCAATGCATGTATATCAAGCACAATAAAGTATTTCTTTCAATATTTTTTGGGGTACAAGATATTTTAGGATTAGGGGTGTTTATTAGGCTCAAAAACTTGTAATACCCACTCGAGCCAAGTGAAATTATGCCCGGCCCAGCCCTTAAAAAGCTACTCAAACAATAGATGAGCATTTTCGGGCAAGGCTGGACATTGGGCAAGTTATACTGCCCTATCCATTTGGCCTTATCCAGAGTTTATATATATAATTATATTCAATATATATAATATACATATATTCATGATATATAATTATATTTAATATAAATACACACGCATGTAATTTTTATATGTGGTAGAATTATATATTTCAAGATTTAAATTGTTGATATATTTGATTATGGATGTTGTTTGAAAACTTATCACAATGTGTTTGATTATAGAATGATAAATAGATATATGAATTTGTAGTGTCTTGTTTATATATATATATATATTGAAATATTCTAAATTGTGAAATTATAAAATACATTTAAAAATCAAAATATTATTTATCAAGTTTGGTGGAAATTTTCACATAATATGAACAACCAATCAATGCATCATCACTTAGGGTGGGCAAGGAAGCCCATCTTGCCTAACCCTACACAGTCCTATACTAAATAACTTGGGCTTTCACTGGACAGGCTCAACAATGGGTTTCAAAATATAATCCATTGATCATTTGGACTGAGCATCAGGCAAAGGTCATGCCCAAACCAACCTTGCTTATGTGCAGCCCTATTTAGGATATTAAATGTATCTGAAAAAATATTTTAAAATACTAAATACAGTACAAAATACTTTAGCATATTGAATATATCTAACAAAATATTTCATGCTGTTGTACGCAGCTTAACCAACTTTATAAATGAACCAAAAGCTTACATTACTTCAGTCCTACAGTACTCGCCGTCGCGTGAGAAATAATACATTTCCCCCATTTACATACTCCGCATGGTGTTCTACATGACATAGGCACTTTCTCCCCTGCATTTATCCTTTACCAGATGTTCCCCTTCTTTATTTATTGATCCTGATATGCTGATTCATTTGAAGCAAGGACGATCAACATGATGCCAAGCTTTGATCAATGAAGATTTAATGATGAATTCTTTTATTAAGCAACTGTAGAAGTCATATGCTAGTGTGCACGACATCTGATTTCTCTATTTCATTCTCTTCCCAATTCAAATTCCATACCGTTCAACTTAAATTTAGGCAGTTCAAGTTTAATGTTTTCCCCATGCGAGAAAAGGTTGAGAAGCATGCTTCTAGGAAGGAAGGAAGGGAAAGAGCAGCATTTCCGTTCAAAAACTCATTTGGAAGCTATAGTTCCATACATGGTTTTACACTCAAAGGAGGAGAAATTTATAATCTAGTCACTAAAAATATTGGGTTTAAATATATAACTATCACCTAGTCACTCTGTTTATCTTCATCTGCATCATTCATGTTTTCAATAACTTCACTATCCTGTTCCTCAAATGTTCTCGTTACATCACCATCAGGTGTGGCTGCATGCTCTGGACCTGTCTTGTTCGCTTCTGAGGAAGTATTGCTGAAGCCTGTGCCATTAGCCACATTTTGTTGCTTCTCCATCATCCCAGACAAGGCTAAGCTTGGAGACCATTCAAGGACATCGTCAATTATGTTAGATACCCTCTTCTGGTACCTGCACAAAGACAAGACAAACCCAACTTCAGTTCCTGATAACGCCGGAGACCAGAGTAGCGTAACAGCAGGTGTCAAAGACTCAAAGGGTGTCATTAGATATAGCAGATCTAGATCCTCTAAAGTCGGTAAAGTTGAACGCAAGGTACTGATACCATACGGATAGTGCCAGTATTTTGTGTTCAACTTTCACCAACTTCAGGATATGTTCTCTAGGAACTGGAACCAGATTCTGACTCTTCTATTATAATACTCACCTTGCTCTGGCAGCCTCATCAGGGGCATGATGCCTCAACAATAATATGACCAGCACAGCAACCCCTGCATAGAAAAGCCTAGTTGTCCACTTGGGTCGCTCCTCCTCATCTTTCTTAGGCCAAAATCTGAATAACTCTCGTAATGTAGCCTCCTCAGCAAGAATGTTAGGGAAAAACCAATACCGTTTCCCAAGAATTATGTATAAGACACCAAATACTGTAGCTCTTACTGCAAGATAATAACAATCCATAATGAGGACCAAGGAAAAAAACTGAAGCAATTTCGGGTGCACTAGTTCAGAGAGAGTACACAAGCAACCATGTCCGTAAACAAAATTCATGTTTGAACTGCAGGGCGATAAAGTCATAGAATAATCTGATTCCCAGAGCATTTGGCAAGACTATAATGAGAACAGGTTCTAGAGTTCACTGAGAGTTGTGGGGGGGGGGGGGGAGAGAAAGAAAAGAAAAATCATCAAAGCAACTAAGCAGAAGCCTCCATGCCGATATCACATGCAACATTATACAACAGGAATTATGATGACAGAATCAAGAGAATGTACATGTCATAAGTAGGGAGCCAGTTACGATTCTGCTTCAAAGAGCTTTCCCTTATAGATGAAACAAATAATGCGAGTCACCATCGTTACAGCTCCAAAATTGTTGGAATCACAAGTCTGTGGTCATTCAATGAATTTCGTGAAAGCCTGAAATTGTCAAATTTTCGGCCCAAAACTGAAGCAAATGCAATTCAGCTGTTTTCGACAAATCATCCCAGTTGAAATAGGTCCTACACTAACCCCCAGCACAAACTACTCCTAATCCTAATCCTAATCCTAATCCTGCCTAAGGTCCAATATCTCCCACTTTGACTGCCATTTATGTCTTGATAAGAGGTGATAAGGATTTAGGAAGTCCTTGTACATCGAGAAAACAACTACTTGCATTGCACCCAAAATAAAGAAGGCAAATGTCATCATGTGACCATTTCTGTATTATTAGAGATCGTAAGCTCGGTGTTGTCATGGACCGTTGCAAGACAAAATCATAAACTATCAAGCGAAGATCCACAAATAGTTTCAACATAATCTCTATCACATGTTCGCTCACATGAAAGCCTTATGGACCGAGGTGAGAATAGAACATAATTTTATTTACTAGAATCAGGGGCAGCAAGGGTCAAGCTCGTGACCCCTTAAGCATAGTGGCACAACGACCATTTGAACTCAAAAGCTTAAGCTGTAGAGCAAATTCCTACATAGTTTTCATATAATCTCTGACAAGTGTTACCTACATACTATCAGAAGATCATTCAACATTATGTTTTGATCGTTCCTGTCAGTTCAATCTATTATTTTCTCAACAGAAGGTGACACTGCCATTCATCCCATCCTTCAAGTAGAAGGATTCTAACAAATCTTTTATGACTATATACGTATTATTGACCTCTCACAGATATATTTCTATAATTCCAGTTAGATATCTGAATCAAAAGTGGAGCTCAGAAATGCATTGGCGATTCCAGTTCCATAAAAATTTCAAGTTAAAAAAGTGCTGAAAATATTCTGCATATGTCAGATATCCAGAAGTCTTCAGAAACATCCCTTTACTTATTGCATGGCAATAGTTTCCTTCAAAACAATGTCATTTATTAATTAAATGACAACATATCTAAAAACAGCCACAGAGGACATCTAATAACATCTATTCAAAAATTATAAATTCAATACATTATTTATTCAAAATTAAATTTAGCATGGAACCTTAATTGCATCTAGCACAGACTAAGATACTACACTACACTTCTTTTTAAGGAGGATGGGGATGAGCCTAAAATGACTATAGCAGCCAAATGGAACGGGTAAAAAAAGGATGTTCAATTAGTAATAGCAATGATGATGTCCAATCAATTATCGCAATATAACCTCACAAACCCTGCTACCCTCTCATATTCCATGCGTTTGAAAACATCAACATATTCGAATTAAGTAAAAATTCCAAATATTTTGAGCTACATATATTTACAAAAGCCTCAAAGGTCCTTATCACTTGAAGCACTAAATCATAGATAAAGTCATTCTATAATTATTTCAAAAAGAAACAAAAGCTATTGAGACTAGGGTAAAAGACATATACTTGTTTATACTAATATAGGAAGCATTCAAAATACAATCCAACAAGAAGCTATTGCACATCAATCACAAAACAATGGGTTGTATATAACTGTTAAGAAATTAACATATGGCATGGTGCTGTAATGTCGGACAAAAATGTGTTGACTTGATCCATGAAAGTAAGTAATGAAGAGGATCAAAACGGAATCAGTTGTAGATCTATATGAACAAGTTCAAATGGAAAAGACAGAACTTACTCAGAAGTAGTGAGAGAATGAGGAAAAGGATCCCAGCACATGAGTAAAGTATTAATAACTTGCAGCGATGAGGATACACCGGAAATAAGCAAATTGCCAATGTTAATACGGGCCAGCAGAATGAGAGAAGTGTCTGCCAAAGCGGGTGGCGTTTTACAAATGTCCATGCAAAAAATGCATCATTTTCAGAAAATACTTGTTCCTGCCAAAGACAGCCAAATATTGTTACATTGAAGCACAAAGAAATCAAGTTCAAATCAATTCTTTAGCACACAGTGTAGAGTAAAACATCAGATTAAATCATATAAAGGTTTACGAACAAGCCAATGATTTCAATTAGAATATGCATTTAACATTTACAGACAGCTTATAAGGATTATAAAATATCTCCAAAGTTCAGGAAAATGATATTATCTTTTTGAGTTGCTTTCAAGATTAAGAAAATTCCCAATAAAATTTGAGTGCAAGTTAAATATAATATTCCCTTGCATTCCATATGAGAATAATATATGACATAGTAGTATTACCCAAAAGGAGAAAGCACCAGACCAGACAAGGCCTGCTATGCATTAAAAAACGACAATGCAAAGCAATCTCTCTCTAGTTCCAAAAACCCACGATAGACAAGCCAGAGAAAGAAATAAAAATGATATAGAACAAAATAAAGTTAGTCATCGATATGAAGACACAAGAAAGCAGGAAAAGTCATTAATACAATACAAAAGGCCCACAAAGTAGGTGCTCCAATTATCAAGATATTCATTTTCCCACATCCCGACACAGGACGATAACCATTAACCACCTTGTGCAAAGTTTGACCTGCATATTTATGGGGATGCTAAAATCTCCTGAAATTGAAAAATTACCTTTAATTTAGTTATAATTCTATAAACCATATTAGAGGCACAGCTTCCACATAAATTCAATTTCGGGTGACTAGTTCAAAATTTCAGTCCTAGTTCCATCCCTAGACCTAGGAAGCAGTCACGGTTCAACTATGGAAATGCAAAGGCAAAATCATTTTATTCGGTATCATTTATCCAGGTTTTCATCAAATTCCCAGCTGGAGGAAAAATCCTCCAAGATTTTATCAAAGAATTGCAGGGTTTACACATGAAAATTTGAAAGAATCAGCATTGCAAGGGTTATTCCAATACAATATATCATTTTCCATTCAAGGACTATTATTTCTCCTAAAAAGCCTTCAATCATTTTCATTAAGGTCCGTCTGAAAATGCAATCTCAGTTCAACCTGATAGAAAGTAGAAGCCATGCTTCAAGTGGGCAAACAGCAAGAGCATAAGTTTATTTGGCAATTAATCGCTGACAGAGAGTAAGGGAATGCTGAAAAAGAAGGTGAGAAACGAGAGCCAGAAAGAATGAAACAGGTAAACATTGTAGTGCCTATGAGATTCGGCAATGTTTGTCAATCCCCACTTGGCACATAATATGTGCAATACCTTCGAATATTAACATTGCAACTCAACAGTTGCATTAAGAATTGAAAACCACTGAAGGGGGCAGCAAAAACACTTACAGGAAAGATTTCTAAATGTGCAGGCCAAGTAGACAACTTTTTCTTCCCCGGACGAACAGTCTTTACCACTCGATCGCAACGCACTAGAAGGTTTTTTCTCAGTAGGATATTGGCAATATCTTCTGTTTCCATATTTTTATCTGCTTCTAGAATATCCTTGAGCTCTGGATGATTTTTTAAGAAGTTCACAAAATCCTTCCCTCTAAAATATTCAACACGTGTCTCCTGGAGAACAGCCCACCGAGAAACCAAATCCTTATGGTCCCTCACTTTCTCAGCAAACAACTGAAAAACATCTTTCTTGGCAGCTTGTTTCTGAAAATTAAATCAATCAAGGATAATTCATAAACAATAGGAATACTTTGGCTTTTCAAATTGAAGTTATTCAGTAGTTAGCAAGAGACATTGGGTCCAAACATCTACTATGTCATGCGCCCAAAAAGAAACAAAGACAATGAACAATTAACCTTTCCCAATCATGGCGGATTAAGAAAGCAATGGATTTTTTTTTGGAGGGTAAACTAAAATTAAAATTAGAGGAGCTGCTAAGATTTATTTAAGAATTTTTTACAAATCAAATTCCATGCATTTAAAAAGGATGTTGAATCTGCCATCATGCTCAGCAAAATGATCTGGTTAGTAGGAAAAAAGATCCCAATATATGATAGAAAAGTAACTGAGATATAACACACAAAATGTAAAGCTAGACACTCACATAATGATCTTTTAAAGAACAAACCATTTTTCATAATTGCTAAATATAACATCTCAAATTTCAATGCGAAATGCCAAACACTTTAAACCATCCTCCATTATATATTTTCCATTAAAAATAAGATGGAAAAATTATAACCATTGGAGATATTTTAGCTAACAATTTTTTTTGTTCTTTTTTAAACAAAGAAAAATATTACAAAGTTTTGAAATATGTCACCAATATCATCCTGCAATAATAGGCAAGACCATGGAGCAATACTTCGTTTACTAACATAATTACTGAAATGAGATGTAAGCCTAGTGGTTGTTCAAGTACATTACACGCAGCATTTTGAGTGGCTAAGAAGATTAAAACTTTAACAATTAAATAGCATTTAAAGATTAGATTAAATTACACTCAAGGACTCACCAGCTTTTATAACATATACTTACAAGAAAAATATTACAAAGTTTTGAAATATTTCACCAATATCATCTTGCAATACTAAGCAACTTCGATTAGTAACATAATTACTGAAATGAGATGTAAGCCTAGTGGTTGTTCAAATACATTACACGCAGTATTTTGAGTAACTAAGAAGAGTAAAACCTTAACAATTAAATAGCATCTAAAAATTAGATTAAATCACACTCACGGACTCACCAGCTTTTATAACATATACTTACAACCCAGCCCCACCCCACCCCCGGGAAAAAAAAAAACATTTTGTGCTAGGACGTGCACTGATTGTTTTGAAAATGACACTTATACCTCGTTGGTAAGAAGTAGAAGTGTATGTTTAAGAATTAGTTTGCCCATTTGGTGGCAGTTAAGTGCGCTGCATTGAATTAGGTCATTAGGAGCTTTGGGAGGAAAGATGTACGTGCTGTCAAGGCGGCACAAGAAGATGCACGTAACGTCAACAGAGTACAAGCTTAGTTAACAATTCTGTTGGAAAGAAGCTTGTTCTCGAATAAATTAAAAGTATAGCTGTGGCATGTGATAATTAGGTTTTAAACAACTCAGGGAGTCGAGTGTAGAAAAACCTTAAAAAACAATTTAAAAAAAGAATTACACGCAAAATAGCTTCCTAATAATTGATCTTCAGGATACGTTTTAATTTCAACAGTGCCTTCGTTACAATCATGGAGATCATGAAATCCTAACTCCAAGAAGGTCAGTAAAAAAAAAAAAAAGAATACCCAGGATTCCTGTCACTCCGTTACTTAGCAACCAAATTAAGAGTAAAACAAATTGAGATCGAGCACAAAATGCTGCAATTCTATAAACATTAACAGATTAAATGTGATCGACATGCACAAATTATTCAAAACACGTTATAATGTCCAAATGGGAAGCCTATAATTCAAGCCAGAGTATAGCTGCCCAATACCCGCGGCAATCAGCTCAGCCACAAAAGATGACACAGTTGGGAAGACAAGGAGAAACAGCCGCAATTTACCAAAATTATTTCTCGATTACATAACATCATCATAAAGTCGTAATTAAACAGGGTGAAGAATTGAAATTGCAACAACATTTATCATTTACGGGAAAAAATAATTCAGACCAAAATAGTGGGGAATCCCAGATCGAAGAATGATGGTAAAACAGGCAGAGAAAGAGAAGTTACCTTCGGCGGTGGGTCGGAATTGGGATCTCTGCCGCCGTTCGGGGCGGCTGCGGAGGAGCGTCGCACCCTCTTCTTCTCCACTCCTCCAGATTTCTTCATTTCGCTCCTCTTGCTCTCTTCTCCCGCTCCCCGTGGATGTGTTTCTTCTTTGTATATTCTTTGTTCGTTTGACCAAACTTTTCTTTTTAGGACGTTCGTGTTACCTAAATAAATCGTTGGTTCATGCATTTATTATTTTAGGTTTTTTTTTAGCTCAAATGCATTTATTATTTTAGGTTGCCAAAAAAAAAGGCAATTATTTTATTAGGGATTTCTTATTCCCGTGGAATAAAAAAATTAAAATACTCTCAAAAATACTAAAAAACAAATTAGGGTAGATGAATTTTAAAATTTCAAATCATACTGTTTGTATTATTTTGAGATTTTAAAATATTGTGAAATGATAATACTGTTTTTATTCCTGGTGATTACTTTCATATAACTATTGACTATTCTAGTTTAGCTATTGACTATTTTTATTTTCAAAGTTTCGGTGATTATTTTTCTATAACTATTAACTATACAAGAGTAGTAAATAACTAAACAAAAAGTAGTTACTAGATCTCCAACAACACTTAATGTATTTTTAGAATTTTTGAAATAAAAGTAGTTAATAGCGACACTAGAATAGTCACCAAAATTTAAAAAAATAAAAATAGTCAATCACAATACTATAGTAGTCAGTGGTTAAACAAGAGTAGTCATCGGAGTTCTAAAACAAATAAAGTCAATAACTAAAAAAAGTAGTCAATATATAAGAAAAAATAGTCACCAAAGCTCCATTGACCAATCACTAGAGTTCAGTGGCATGTCATTAAAGCTTTGGAGGCTGGCCACTGGTAGGGTCGCCAATGCTGGAGCTCAAGCGGCCAAAAACCGACTAAGGGTGCTAAGATGACAATATTAAAAAAAAAAAAAGGACACTTGTGTAATTTTATAAGATTTGAAAAATTTAAAATGGTACAAGAGGTTTGAATTGGAATTTTGAAATTCACACACATTAATTTGTCCTTTAACAATTTCTAAGATATTTTATTGTCTTTTTCCCTATTCCTATTACAAAAAATACCATATATAATAACTTGTCTGAAATAAAAAAAATATTATTTATTATTTTTATTCATTAATAATTATCTATATTTTTCTTATTTGATCATTTTCCCTCTCTCTACACATGCTTTAGAACATAAATTATGTTTTTCATATATTTCTTATAGATTTATTATTTTAATCAATATTTTATTTATATATGTAGATTTTTATACTCTTTATAAAAAAAATTTGGGGAATATAACACATGTCAGAGATATTTTATGGTTGTAAATCTCTTCTCATCTATGTTCTCACTAAAGGGAGATGATTTTTTGGAATGAGTTACAGGGAGATGACATAAGAAAGATATTAAAGGTAATTCATACAAATTAATTTTTTGAAAAAATTTTGTTTAAAGACCGCAGTAAAGAATTAATTTCAAAGAGTCCCCAAAACAGTTTTTAACTTCACTGCAAGACCAAGGGGCCAAGCTGATATTAATTCCACAAACAAAATGACACTATTGCCCCTCGTAATACTTCTCATGAAATTTGAAAATAAGGGCCAACAAGCGATGGTCAAAAAGTCTTCCCCCTCCCTTTATGCGAACGTGATCCCACTTTGTGAAAACTCTTCCCTCTCCCACTCTATGAACGTGCCACCACTCTGTGAAAACTCTTCCCTCTCCCGCTCTATGAACGTACCACCACTCTGCAAAAACTCTTCCCTCTCCCGGTCTACCAACATGCTACCACTCTGCAAAAAATCTTCTTTCTCCCGCTCTGTGAACGTGCTACCACTATGGGAAGATTCTCCCCTCTCACAATCTGTAAAAACTGTCAAACGTGCCCCCCAAAAATTTTGTCGCCTTCATTCTACAGGTGCATTGTATTCGCTACAACCAAAAGAAGAACAGGACGAGACTGACAAAGGAGGAAGCTTGCAAAGCTATCAACAAAGAAGGAAGAAGGAGGGCGAGAAAAAGTCACGAATTTCCTTTAGTAAGCGTCGTGGTCTACATTAAATGTAATAGATTTCTGTGATTTTGTTTTCATGATAGGTTAAGGAAAAATGGCCCACTGAAAGGTGGGTATGTGTGGTAATGACATTTGGGTTCTAACTAAGAAATGGTTAACAATGCGTCACATAGTGTTTGAACGTCACCTTTTTTAGCATATCCTCCTGATTTAGTGAGAGAAAGCTTGTGAGTGTAGCCTTAAGAGTTTGTGTGGAGGCTAAGTATGAATTTATTATGAAGGGAAAAATTAGTATTGGTAGTCAACTGTATTACTATACTGTTTGTTGATAAGCATTTTGCAAGAATTAAAAAAAGAATTGGGAGGGTCAAATGTTGTCGTATGGATTAGGCAAATAAGTGGGTTTTCTTTGGTTTATCCCGTTGATTGTTGGAATGTGACATTTAGTAGGCTAACAATGATAGTTAGTCAATTAACATGAACAATTAGTTGAATAACCACTTATATGTAACAACTTCATGTTTGTTGGAATATGAAAGTTAGGGAATTTATATGAAAAATTAGCAAATTAATCACTTATATTACACAATTTCATATTTGTTGGAATCTGATCTGTAGTGGCCTCATAATGACAATTAGGCAATTGACACAAAGAATTAGTGGATTATCCACTTAGCTTATGTGTAAGGTTTCATGTTTGTTAGAATCTGAAAGTTAGGCAGTTTACATGAAGAATTAGTAAATTAATCACTTGTATTACACAATTTCATGTTTGTTGAAATCTGATTTGTAGTGGCCTCACAAGGAAAATTAGGTAATTAACACCAAGAATTAGTTTATTATCCACTTAGCTTATGTGTAACAGTTTCATGTTTGTTGGAACCTGAAAGTTAGGCAATTGAAATGAAAAATTAGCAAATTAACCACTTGCATTACACAATTTCATGTTTATTGGAATCTGATTTGTAGTGGCCTCACAAAGAAAATTAGGCAATTGACACCAGGAATTAGTTAATTATCCACTTAGCTTATGTGTCATAGTTTCATATTTATTGGAATCTGAAAGTTAGGCAATTTACATGAAGAATCAGTAAATTAACCATTTGTATTACACAATTTCATGTTTGTTAAAATCTGATCTGTAGTGGCTTCACAAGGAAAATTAGGCAATTGACACCAAAAATTAGTTGATTATCTATTTAGCTTATGTGTAACAATTTCATGTTTGGTGGAATCTGAAAATTAGGCAGTTTGCATCAAGAATCAATAAATTAACCACTTGTATTATATAATTTTATGTTTGTTGGAATCTGATCTGTAGTGGCTTCACAAGAAAAATTAGACAATTGACACCAGGAATTAGTTGATTATCCACTTAGCTTATATGTAATGGTTTCATGTTTGTTGAAATCTGAAAATTATGCAATTTACATGAAGAATCAGCAAATTAACTACTTGTATTACACAATTTCATGTTTGTTGGAATCTGATATTTAGTGGCTTGGAAATGAAAATTAGGCAATTTATACGAGGAATTAGTTTAATATCCACTTAGCTTTTATGTAATTGTTTCATGTTGGTTGGAATAAGAAAGTTAGGAAATTTATATGAAAAATTAGTTAATTAACCACTTGCATTGCAGAATTTCATGTTTGTTAGAATCTGATGTTTTGTGGCCTCACAATAAATGTTAGCCAATTTACATGAAGACTGGCTTCATTATCCACTTAACTTTATGTAACAATTTGATGTCTTGTCGTATAACAAGTAAAGTTAAGGATTTAACAATAACAATTAATGCAGATACATTTTTGGGGTTGATATAAGAAGAAATATTAGATGATATGAATTTTGAAGTGCTATTTAGTCTAGTAATTAATGACTTTATAATTATTGCATAAAGGGTTAAGAAGATGGCAAAAAAAGAAGCACAAGTTATCGGTTGGAAAGTATTCAAGGGCGAATTTCGGGAACAAAGGAAGCAGGAGATGCACAGAATGGGAGCAATCACAGGTGTGGCTTCAACAACATGGAATCAGATGAGTGATGTTGACAGTGAGCTGGACAAGAAAAAGGAGCTAGAGCTGATACATGAGATGAACAAGAAGGAGAAATATGTGTCCCTATTTTTTACCTGTTGCTCCCCCACGAAATTCAAGAAAGCGGCTAAGTTTATAAATGGGAAAGAAAATTTAAAGCGCAAGGTAGAAGAAATGGGGTTTGGGTAGAGCTGGTAATATAAGTTGAACCCACAGGTCCAATCCACAAAAAATAACAGGTTAGGATTGGCTAAAACTCAACCTGCCAGTAAACAACGCTTTTCAACCCGTACTGTCTAACCCACAACCTGCTACGGGTTAGCCCGCCAACCCACGGGCTAACCCGCATTTATTTTTTTTTGGTATTTTTTATATTTTATTAATCAATATGTGTATATTATCATATTATATATTCTATCTAAAAAATTAAAAAAATACATATATCATTTATTAATTTTGTGTTTTTAATCAAGTATTTAAAGAAAAGATAAAAATTTTATTATATTTTTTATATTGTATAAGAAAAGAATATTTAAAAAATAAAAAAAATTAAAAAAAATAGTAGGCGAGTTGGCAGGGTAACCCATCAATCCACTATAGCGAGTTAAGGTTGGCTAAAAGGCAACCCGCCATTACACAGGGCCTTTTTAGGTCGCACCGCCTAACCCTAACCCATCACGGGCATCTTCTTGTTATTACTTTGAATAAGATCCCTGGAGATTTATGTTTGGAGTTGATTCACGCATAAAATCCCTTAAGTAAACAAATGATCATAAGAGGGAAGACAAAGAGGGTAACAGCTAAAGATGTGAGGAGGGTATTTGGGTTACCAAATAAGGGCTCCAAAGTAAATGAGTTAAAGAAGGACTACACTCCACTGACATATTCTCAAATTGAGGAGAAGATAATGAGCAAGGACGAATATGGAATGTTTGAATTCTATTTTGTTCTTTTCACAATAGGAACTTCTCTTAGTCCCACAAGAAGTACAAGTATGAGTGAGAATGTGCTAAAGGTAATGGCCTGCACAGGAAAGAATTGGAAAAAATTTGACTAGGCTT